AGCTTACTGTATTTAGAAATAATTCTAAACATAGCAATTAAATATATTTGCATAATCTTTTGTTTACCCCTCAATTTCCCTATTGTTCAAAGCCCTTCCCACTTGAAGTAATTAAAGTCCTGGTCTAGACGAGGTATCCAGATAGGTGCACGTGATGTAAATTACACCATGTCATTGGCCGAAATGCTATGAATATCTAATGATGTGTGAGAAGGTTATATCTCATACCTTCCTCGCCTTTCCAACAATACAATGGATTAACAATTTTTTGGTTAGCAAAAAAAAATGAGGCAAAAACTCAAATAAAACGCTCAAAAATAAAATTACTGTATTTACTCGCCCCAAGTCTCTTTCTCTTAAACCGCGCAAAATGTAGCGCATGCGCAGACAAATTCCCACCTGTTGTTCCGGTGGAGTCCCCAGGCAAAAACAATCACAGACATGCGCAGAAGGGACTGTAACCTACCTTTAAATTTATGGTTTAGTAACTGATTTATATGAATGTGGTTGAAGACAATAATATAGAATATTTAATTAATATACCCTACATAAAACAACACTAACAAAGTAACTATATTAAAATTGTAGATAAAGACAATAATGTCCATTAAAAATACAGTTATTCTTTCCATATATTGTAACTTACTTACCTTCAAAATGTGTAAATTTTTCAGTAAGATATTGTGTGCCTTGTTTATATTTGTATCTATTTCATAATTCTACTTCTGGATCTCTGCTTCTGGATGGCACTTCTCATTGAAATGTAATTTTATTTGCGAGACTGCTGGTACATCGCTGGCTCAGCCTCTCTCTCCGCCCGTGGAAAAGCTATTCCCATCTGGCAGAGCCTCCCCAACTTCATTTCAATCTTCCCATCACACCGCGCGCGCTCACTTTTATTCAGGAAACTTCATGTAAGTTTTAAGGAGGCTCTGCGGAGGAGAGAGTGGCACGAATCATAAAAATAAATTAAAAAATCATAAAAATAAATAAGCCCCGTGGCCGTGTATAATAATATTAATATAATAAAGAATTATTCACTTATTTAGGAAACAGTATGCTTTGAAATATTGTAAAAATCGTATAAACTACTCTGCGTTTGTAAAACTAGAGAAATCATTATTTCACGAACAATATACCGGTATCTATTAATAGACTTTGACAGATTTATTATTTGTTATTGTAGGAATTACGGCATGCTGCGCGCACATTATGATGGTCCTAAAGACCGCGTTAACAAAGAACCTAAAAGGAATGTCGTGTAGAGCTCCAAATGTTTGTATGGACGACTGCGATGAAACTCACTACACACTACTGCCCAGAAAACTACAACTGCCCAGAAAATTCCATGTGCTGTGCTTTGAAGTAACTGACTGCAAGATTACTGGACTGTGATTAACATAACCAAAGTGATACAGTGACAATACAATCATTTAAATGCTAGTACGGGTTTTCATACAGGACGACGGGTTTTAATACTGCATGATTTATGTTTTAATGTACAGGAACTGTTGTGTTTTGTCTAGTGACTAAATGCTAGGGTTATTGCCAACTTACAAGTTCAATTCATATCAAATTGTAAGGGTATTGATCAGTAAATATTTGCAATTTACCATTATGCGGCAGAAAAGTATGTTAATTTTTTCATTGTGTAATAGTATTTTATTTCAGGGCTTTCAGAATTATTCTGAGTAAAGGTCTGTTTTGATAAAGTAGGCGGCTGTTGGGAGGGGACTGTCTAGGGGGCCTAAAGTCATCCAAATTAACTAGTGTATACTGATTAGATAGCAACACAACTGCCCTCTGTAACCAAATTATAATGTATCATTACTCTCATTCTTCAACAAGATAACTTCAAGATTTAAGATGCAAATAACTAAATCGATTTTATGAAATAGTAGTACGACGTTTTCGAAAATAACAAGGCTATAAAGTACAGTATAGACCAAGTTGAGGAAAAATAACTTTGTTTGAAAGCTCAGAGTGGAGGAAGAAGAGCAGAATTGATCATTCAAGTACTAAACAAAGTAACTGGCGGTGAACCTCGTAGCACCCGTCGGAGTTCCGGCGGCCGCCGGCTTATTTTGAAAGCCCTGTATTTAGTGGAAAATATATAGCGTTAAGAGATCACAAATGCTAAACTCGCATTCCTAATTCTGAAACGATTCTATATTCTATGTATGTATATATATACAATATATATTATAACAAAAAATTACTATATAATACAAGTCATTCGAGTCGTTTACCCGAAATCGAATTATTTACACACAAATAGGCCATGAAGCAATTTTTGATGCAATCAGCCTCGTACCCAGGCTTTTTCCTCTACGGAGCGTAGAGGAAAGAGCCTGGGTGGGAGCTTGTGTTACAACTTCCAGCAAACACGAAGCTCTAGGAAGATGTTCTGTGACGTAATTGGCTTACATAAACAAAAGGAATATTGTTCTTGCTTCGTTCTTTACAAAATCCATTCTATAGCTTATTCTTTTGTCATTGTCATAATCAACCAATCACAGAACATCTTCCTAGAGCTTCGTGCCGACCCACAACTTGCTCCGCCTAATGTGAAAACAGAGAAAATAAAAGACAGGATACAATGGCCTCCTTTATTTCCTCATGTTTGACTTCGTTTATTTCCTTCATGTTTGACGCTCAAGATCAAGAGAAACATACTCGTGCCTTTGACATGGAGATGTAATTTTCATGTGCGCTTGCATGCCATTCTAAAACGGGCAAACAAGAAAACAAGGCCATTGGCCAAAAGTGCGATATCATGACATCGTCTGCATGTACAAGTCGTTAACAATTTGATGTATGATAACAAATTTGTAGCACCTTACAGCCTGCATTAATCGTGTTGGAACAACTTGTTACAACCCTCGAAATTCGCCTCGGCACTCGGCAATTGCCGACGCAAATGCCGAGGCAAGTTACGATTTTTCATAGTTTGCCTCGGCAAAAAAATGCCGAGGCAATTACACCCGTTGTACCTTAAATTACAAACTACAGCGTCTGTTTAGTTTTTTTTGCTTAAATTTACAAACTACAGTGTTCGTTTTTGTATCACTTTTTTGTTCGAATTGTTGTCATCGACGTTGGGAGAACAACAGAAGATTTCATTCATAGCTACTTTACAAAATTTTATTATTAAATTTGAGCTTTTCAGCGTCGGTCGCGGCTTCGGCTGAAATAAAGAACAATCTTGATGGTTTAAAGACGGCACGTCGAGAAACTTTGTTTTATCTTTTAGACTGTCGCGTGATTACCGCCAAGTTTATTCTTTCATACTATTTGTTGTTAATTACCACAAACTTTTTAAAAACATTTTGAATCAGGAATTTGTAAAATAACAATAAATTGTCAAACGTCAGAATCTACGCTCGGTATAATATTTCTTTACAATAATTTCCGTACTTTAATTACAATTGCCGACGTGAATGCCGAAGGGTGCCGAAGTAATTGCCGAAGGAATTTAAGGTGATTTCATTACGTGCCTCGGCAAAAAAAAATTGCCGAGGCATTGCCGAGGCAAACTCGAAAATTATCGAAAGACTTCGGCAATTATTTACCGAAGCAAAAATAGTTGAATTTCGAGGGTCGTTGTTGCAAGCCAGTTACCGTCATCAATCTTGTAACAAGGTGATAGTAACTTTTTCCAGACTTGTTACAACAACTGGGAACAAGCGGTTCAAACATATCCTGATATCGGCTTGACAACAACCTTGTTACAACTTGTTGTAGGTCTGTAACAATTTGCGTGTTTTATATTTGTGTAACCTAACGTTAGTTATTTCGACCGATTCCAAATTCCATGCTTTTCCAAAGAATCAAGCGAGAAACATGTCTGGTGAATTTCAAATTCCACGTGTGGCCTTTTTTGTTTACACTGTTTCTTGCTGGTGACAAAATTTTTAGTGGCTCTCAGATTGTAGCTGTTGGACATTTCCAGCACTATCATAATTTTCACGTGCAAGCCACGCGCCAATTGCGTTGACCTCTCATTTGTAACTTGATTCCAGTTCACCTCTCATGGACTGATATCCTTGTATCCCACACATTGTGGTATCTGAGAAACATTGCATCCTGGTAAATGGTTCTTCCCTGGGGATCCAGATAACTCGGGTGTCGGTTGTTCATCAAATAGACTGACTAAAAACAAAAGAAGAGTTTTCTTCCACTTTTTATTAGACCTCGTTTTAGGAGTTGATTTTTGGCCGTCATGTCGGTGGACAAAATTGTCAACCAACATGTCGACCAAAAATCCAATGTCTAAATAATAATAATAAGGGCGATTTTTATCAATACGTTGTCATCTAATGCTGACGGG